GCATTGAAGCAACTGCCATGTGATTGGTTGATTAGATAATTGCATTAATGAGAAATTGAACAGGTGTTCCTAATAATCCTTTAGGTGAGTGTATAATGCATCCGACTTGTGTTCAAGATGTTAAATTAACATGTTAAGTGCACATATATTCCCTTTTTTCTTGAGTCTGTTTGCTCATCCAAAATTAAATGTGATTAATATAGATTAAAAATGAATGATTTTAATCGTGATTAATTAAAATTAATCCACAGCAACCCAATGATTAATCTGAGTAAAATTTTTAATCGTTTGACAGCACTAATATATAAAAAAAACGTGTCTTTTCATTTTGTAGTACACAAAAGGCAACCATCATTTGTCATTACACAAAGTGTCTCATATTTAATCTTTTTGTAAAGCAATAACACATCAGTGAATCTGACAGAGGAATTATCCAGTCCCTTTCATCAATGGAGTTTGTAGGTTTTGCTTCTTTGTAGAGTGTGGAAGTAAATTACCTAGACTCACATTCTTTTCTCTAAATTCTGTTCGGCACCATACATATACCTGACACGACTTGAGTAAGAAAAAATGTCTTTTATGAAGACCGGGTATCTTGGAATTGACAGGAAAGAAAGAGTATCCCTGTTCCATGGAACTGAATCCCCGTACAAAGGAAATGCTTCAAACTACCCGTATCTCACCATATATTTGGTGCATTAATCTGCTTCATTACAACATATTCATTAGACCATATTATCCTCAATATATGTAAATATTGCAAACACATAAGAACATAAGCTTGTTTGTCTCCATTTGATACTTCTGACTGCTTTCCCATTAGCTTTCTCTGCAGCACTGAACAGCCTACATAGTACGTCCCGTTCTTTTAGCAGAGGAGGTTCCAATTTTTTTCACAAACAGGCAGTTTCAGCAGTTTCTGGGTCAGCACAAGACACATACATACACATTTTTCATGCCTGAGGCCTAAAACACTGACAGCAATCCAAGAATGTGCCTCTCCCCGGCCCCCTTGGACCCCTTCATCCACAAGAGAAAAAAGTACATTTGTTTCTGATATGCGCATCACAAGTTGGTAGGCGACTTGCTCTAACCAGTTCTTGACGTTTGAGTCTACTGTGAGCTAAATTGAAAACGCTTGGTTGGCAGGTTTCACGTCAACAGTGATGCTCGTGTTGATGTCCGTGAACAAGTTGCAGTTGAAGTTGGCCTGCAGCTGCCTGGCACCGGCTCTGTATGGCATGAAGGGCACTAGCACTCGAATCTGACCATTGGGTTTGATGGAAGGCAGGCTAGGGAAAGAACACATCCATCAAAATTGAACTTGAACAGGACATTAATACAGTAATATATAGTACTGTGCAAAGGTCTTAGGCAATCAAAGAAAATCAAAGAAAATGATACTTTAGTGATTAGTGAGGTTCATTAATTCTAGTTCAGGTAAACACATTCAGGTTCAGGATTTGGTATTCAGGTAATGAAATTCAAGTACAGGTTAACACATTCAAATTCAGATAAATAAATTCAAATTTGGGTTGTGGTGAGTCTGATTTGATGCCATACCATACTCCACAGATCTGATATGACATGCAACCCCTCCACCCTACCTCTATGAAAATTATTGTTACAGCAATGTAAGATGTTTTTTGAACTTGGGAGATGAGTCTCACTGACTTGGTCTCGTGCACGTCCACCAGTAATCCAGAGCCGCTAACGGTGAGCTCACAGTCTGTCAGTACCATGGAGACGGGGTTGTCAAACACCACCTCTGCTGTCATTTCGGAGCCCGGGTAGGCCATCCCCTTCGTCTGGAAGAAGGAAAGCCAAACTGCTTTGAAATTTCAGTTGCTGGAAAATTAAAATACTGTTCTTAAAAGTTGTTCTTCTCAATAGCAGCTACAAGTATGGTTACATTAGTTATATCAAAACTGCTGCTATTTCTTCAGATTTGCCTCGAGAAGTAAGAAAATATTCCTATAGTTATGATTGCCTTTACATTGTTTTAAAGACCTTGAAAATATTTCTGCACTGTATTTTCTTCGTATATATATTCATATATATTTGCAGTTTCCCTTCTATTATTCTTTTAATTAAGAAACAAATATGACAACCTTGTTTTAGAAGACCTAGTGGAGACATGCTTTTTAGACTAAAACTTGTAAAGTTCTGAGTTTCCCAGAAGTCGAACGAGAGAAGACCGCACTCACAGTGATGATGAGTTTGGGGTTTTCTGGTACAATGTCTTTCTCTGTATAGTAGCTGACCCCAGCGTTATCCAGATCTGTGACGACAGCGCTCACTCTGATGGTGTTCCTCCCCAGGAGAGTAGCGTAACATGGGTAGGCGATCTGAATGGGAATGCTCATCTCTGTGGACACAAAACGGGACACTGGTTTGGTTTTCAGGCATTAGTACTGGTCTTAGCTGAGTTCTTAAATCCTGACATAATTTATTCAGGGTTAAAAAAGGTTCTTCCCTTTACACAAGGCTTGTGTTGTTTTTACAGAAGCAGCCAAATCCTGTACCTTTGCTTGAAAGTAGCAGTGTCTCTGGCTCTTTGGTCCAGATAATTGCCCCAGGCACACCATTGTAGAGCATGACCTGAGCAAGCACGTGGATTTGGAGCTTCTTGGATGCCTGGGTGCTGTTTTTCAGAACAAGACTATGGCTGATGTCCTTGCCGTTGATTGACTTGCTAACCTCTACTAACTTCAGCTGTAGGTTACGAGACCCAGGAGGTGAATTTGGCGTATTACTCAAAGGCTTGGTCCCTCTCTTCACAGCTTCTTTGTACACCTGCCTCTCCTTCTGTGTACCTGCACATAACATAACAATGACATGCTTTGATGATCAGTATCAAACCAAACCTATAATTATTCACATGACAATGCTTTGAGATTGTAGGCAATGATTGAGGTGAAACTTTTCAGCATCTCCACAGTTAGACCTACCCTCTGTGTATTTGTAGCTGGCTGTGATGTCTGATCTCTTGTCCATCCCAACCATTTTAGTGCTTATGTTCTGCCCCACTTCACATGTGTCTGAATTAAGCATTATTTTAGAGCCGTTGGATAAAATCATCCAGGTGACAATATCAGCGTTGACTTCAGCAAAGACAAAAGGAACGTCGTATTTGACGTCTACATGACCTTCCAGCACAGCTTTGACTGGGGCTGGTCCACAGCAGTACAGTCCTACAGGAAGGGAAAGCAGACTTTCAGAGGTTCTCATGGAGAAGCAGGGGCTCCAGTCAAATTACTGTTTGTTCAGATTTTTGTGTCTCAAAGCCACATTCACCTTGTGTCCTCTTGATATTGGTTAAATCTTTTATCTGATTTCCACTATATGGTCTACAATTATTTATTGGTTTTTGGGCAGCTAGTGATAAGTGTTTCTAACCCCTACATTAAACAATACATGTCGTTTGCCATATAGAGTTGAATAGACGATTGAATTGTTATTCTTGGCTACAATTTTTTGATGGCTATTATTAGGGTTATTATAGGTGTGAAATGGAATGTGGACGACTTTGTACCATTGCTTGTTTCTTGGGGTGTGGGGTCCACCACCTGCCAACCATCATAGAAATCTCCAGAAAGGTCAGGGCGCCTCATCCAGGCCTCCACCCACACATGGAAGTTCCTACATCAGTACAGAGAGAGACTCAGGGGTCAAACTTTTTGCTACTTTATGCATTGGTAAGATGTGTTTAGTTTTGCCATGAGACAGCTACCATATACTGTCTTCTTCTTTTTCAGGAATATGGCCTCTCTCTGTGCGGTATTGATCAACGACAAGATTACCGTCCGTGTCGTGGGCTGACTGGAAATTGGTGACCACTCGAGAGGGGATTCCCACGCACCTCAGAACTGCATTTGGAATTTAGAAATTGAAACTGAATCGAAATATATACAGATTTCAATCTTCAGTTGAGGGTACAGTTCCCCAGTTATTAATGCAGAATATATACTTCATCCAAAAAGAAGACAGCTGCCACCTTCTCAACATACCTGTGCACAGGACCGCTGCAAACACCCAGCACTGACCATACTTCACAGAGTTGTAGTTCCTGGCCCACTTCCTTAGGATTTGCACACTGTTGTTCCAGGATGTTGGTGATGTGCCATCAGAGAAGTCACCACACCATTTGCCATGTAAAACCCCTCCATCATCTTGGGCATTAATCTGAAAGGGGTGCAAAAGCAAACTATTGCTATTATATTATTTTTGTAGCTTTATACAGCAGTCTGATTTGCCATGAATTTGCCCTAATAGTGTAGCAAGCAAGCTATTTTTTATTAAAACAAAATTACTTTTGTACTGAACATTTTTTAACATACTGTACAAACGTCTCAGTAAATATTATAATCTACTGACGTTGACACATATGTGGGCTGTAGGTAAATTCACACCGCGTGCGGAGACATCTTCAAAGTGATCGGATGTCATTCGTTCTCTATGGGTGGGTGCGTTGCGTTGCAATTTGGGCGGTGGAAGCGTCAAAATGAAGTTGAAGCCTGGTCAACTTTATGGTAATGAGCTTTGATGCGTTTCGGCAGCAGCAAATCGGAGTGTAGAGAGCGTTCCACAGAAACCGTATATGCAATCGTTACAAGACAGAAAACGATTCCCCACCCATATGAAAAACAAGGGAAACCGCTTATAGTTATGAGATTTACATAAAGCGCTCATACAGATTAAAAAGCTTGGGACAGAATAATTCCTGTACAAATACTGTTTAAATACTTTGCTTATAGTTAGTCTTGCAAGTAGTCCAAGTAGTGCCAAGAAAGAGCCACTGAGATGCAGCAGCGAAACTACAATAAGCTGTATTTCAAGTACAGTATAGTACTGCATTATAGTGTATTTGAATTATACGCATGTCAGTAATTTAATTTGTACAGTACTGTAATTTGAGAAGCATTTGAAACAGCTGTATTGTAGTTTGAAAGAGTTAACACGCTCATTTTAATGGAATGTAATTGGGGTCAAAACCCTCTGAATCAACAGGTTAAATTTGTATGTCTAAAGATGTCTAAAATGAATGTCTTAAAACGTCCATTTTCAGTGTCTTAAGACGTCTGGACCATTAAAGCTTCCATACTATTGGTTGGCGTCACATGCCCATAAGACGTATACCTGGAAGCCAGTAGAGTGAGGATGCAGGGAACCACCAAATGAGAGGCAGCACCTATAGTTTAGTTAATTTAACAGGTTAACTTGGGTATTAGTAGCCAAAATCTCCCCTTCTGTTCTGCCTGAGAGTGTGCGTGTACAGTATATACAAGTAAGCGTTGCATTATTGATACCTCGTATTAGTCACCTGCACACTTACCAATAACCACGTTACTTCCCTGAGTTGAGATACCGGCATTTGATATAGTTTATACTACATTGTTTATTTACATTTATACTGGCATGTACATTTAAACCATGAGTGCGTTGCGTTTAACCACATATACATTGTCTTTGATAATTTTGTGTTCCAGTGGTGATGTGTAGTTGCTAATGGAGTACATACTAGTGTATGAGATTATTGAGTTGTGTTGTGGGACATATTGCATTCTGTTAATTATGTGTGAATATCATAATATTCTTGATGTTGTTTTTACTACCTAATTTAAGTTTGTATCTTTTTTACAGCTACACTCACAGATACATTCCTGCATATGTACCCAGATTCCTAGGTTCCTGTTATCTAGCCATAACTGAAGATGTACAGCAGTGTCTGACACTTTTCTTCAGGTCCAGCATGTCTTTGCAGTCCTGACTGACTGGCAACAGTGTTTCTACCTCATCTGAACCAGGTTCAATTTTGTTTATGTCCTCCTACAGTTCAGTATATCTTATGGTTTCATATCTACTCCATCTTCTTTTTATTGAAGGCTTAACATTGAATGTGTCAATGTATTTGAAACCCTACATCATTGTGGTGCAAAATGCATGAATAACACAAGCCAAGACTGACCATTGCACAGAGCACTCTGCTGACGTAGATGGGGCTGCATCGAGCAGAGAAGTCCTCCTCCTTGTTTCTCAAGCACTTGAGGTTCCTGTCCATGAGTTTCAGGCAAATGTCCACAATGTCCTGTTCAAACTGCAGAGCAAATGTTACATTTAGGTTAGATTCCAGAGATCATTTAGGTCCAACATACTCATGTATACAAATAGCTAAATATTAATGTTTCCTGTGGGGGGAATGAGGCTTTTGAACCTCTGGCAGCATAGGATTCTCATGCACTATCAGTCACTGACAGAACCACCTCACTTCTCACTGACTGGTTCCCATTGGCTTAAAACAGTCAATGATTGACAGCACGCAGAAGCCCCTCCCAGCATAAGAACATAAGACATTTATAAACGAGAGGAGGCCATTCGGCCCATCAAGCTCATTTGGGGAGAACTTAACTAATAGCTCAGAGTTGTTAAAATCTTATCTAGCTCTGATTTAAAGGAACCCAGGGTTTTAGCCTGCACTACTTGAACAGGGAGACTATTGCATACTCTAACTACTTTCTCAAATTCTGTTTAAAATGTTCTCCCGCTAAATTCCACCTATGGCCACGGGTTCTAGTATTTAAACTGATATTGAAGTAGCCATTTG